AATGGATTTCAAAGGAGCCAAGAGTGTGGAATTGACGTTCATATGCAAATTTTACACGGTTTCCTATGGCTTGAATAAATACATTAACAGGATGGTCCATTATAAAACCAATCTTCCTTACATTTATAGAATCATAGAGCTGGAAGAGAGCTCAGGAGGTCATCAGTCCAGTCCCTAGCCCAAGGCAGGACCAATCCCAACTAAATCAACCCTCACTGACATCAAAAGCTAAGTATGGGACACTTCCAGACTCATTAGCACCTGCAATACAATTGACAGGTACATGTTTTCCCCTCTTCTTTTTCTGTTACAAATTCTGATAGTCCCCCTTTTTTCTCTACTCAAGCTCATCTGAAGAGTGGGTTTTGCCCACGAGAGCTCATGGTACTATATATGTGTGTGCGCGTGCGTATGCGTCAAACTCTAAGGTGTCACAGGACTACTCGTTTTTAAATCAAACACATTTATTCTTGGTAGAGCAAGACTTAATGCCTTCATAGCCCTGTACAATGCTGCTTGATCCATATGCAACAAGGCAGCACTGTAAAGAAGCCGAAGACAGTGAGACAATCCAGATGTTCATTTCTTCTTCAGCTGTTAATGAAAGCATGGTATTGTAGCTTATAGGGCTAACCTGCTTGCCTATTGATATATTTTCTTATTTCCTTACTGTTTTAATTATATGATTATTATAATAGATTACAACAGGTAAACAATACAGTAGCAGTAAGATAGGTAAACAGTAGCTTGGCTGTAACGGCAAGGGACCTACAGCTCACATCCTGTATGTTGAACTAAGGCAATACATATATCTGGGACCATTCACCTAGATAAAGTCAATGTGAATATATTCAGGACTTTTCACTGGCCATTGGGAGCTGCAAGACTATGCTGGGGTGGAGGCAGTGTACAAAACCTGCCTCCCCTGGACTTGCAGCTGTTCACAGAAAAACAGGGCCCTATAGCGACTTTTCTGAGCGGCGTGCAGGACGGAGCAGGCAGGGAGTTTGACTGGGACTCCTGCTGCACCCAGCAGGCTGGATCCAGTGGCTTGGATTCAATCAGTGGGCCATATTTGCCTGGCCTTGTACTCAGGTTTGGGCAAAAAAACCTTACTAGCCAGAGGCAGATATGAAAGAAGAGGGAAGAGAATTCCCAAGAGTGATATCAAAACACAACATCCAGATGCAAAACTCACACTGTCCACCTCCTAAAGGAGGGGGGGAAGGAGTAAAGATGCTTGGATTTCTAACGATGCTGTGCTGCAAGTCTCCAAAGAGGATCCATATTTCACACAGGTTTTTGGCTATTAGGTGACTATTTAGGAATTTACTCTAGCTCAGCTACTGGAAATTGGAAAATGCTTTTCCTCATCCAGAGCTTGCAGTGAAGGAAGGCAGGTTTCTGCTACTCTGTACCTCAGCTACCAAATTCGCTCCTTTGATAACTAGTTTCAGCGTATTCTTCATGTTTTGATCAAAGATGCTTGGCTCTTTGGAGTTTTAATCCACGTTTATAATTCTGACGTTATCAGCAAAGTTCTGAGAAGGTAGACAGATGATGGAGCAATTTCTAGGAGACTCAGGACTAGTGCACTAATTTCACATAAATTAACATTTTAAAAGTTAACTGTGAAATAAGTTAGAAGCTTAATTTTAAAAATAGTTAGCTTGAATTCTGCAAGAGCTTGAATTCTGAATTGGCACCACCTTTGTTAATGATTACAAAGTCAACTCTCAAGCCTTATGAAACTTTCCAAAAGGTACTAAAAATATTCTGAACTGATACCCAGTTGATAGAATCAAACTGCCTCAGCTAAAAATTTGATAAAGGACTTGAAAGCTGTTTTATTCTACCAGTCCTCCCAGTGACTGCAAGCCACCACTCTACGCATATGAAATTTTGATTTCCCTCTTCCATCCCCAACAAAGAGTGTTTACCTCATTTACTGCACACATCCGTGCTATAGATCCAATATTATTGGTGATTGTAACCAGTGTAGCTCTAGCCAGGTCTTCTTTACTAACAGATTCTCTCTTCTCTTTGTAGATCATGTTCCCAAAACTGGAGAGAGAGGGGGGGGGGGGGGCCCTACAATAGGGTGAGAATACAGTTTCTATGCTATAGTGGAAATTTCAACTCCTGTTTATCCTACCCTTAACTGACCCTCTTTTCTAATGATTACTGAACATAGTAATTTGACCACTGAGATTGTTACGGGTTATGTATCTATCTGCATCCATTCCCTAAAAACAAATACATTTCCGCCCAACATTTTAAGACGAGTCCACAGGAGTTAGATCTTTCTGATTACCCTACAGAATTTCATGAAGGAGCAGCTTAAATCACAGCTAAACAACATTAATCCATAGCACTAGCCAGAATAAGTGAAAGTAATTCTGAGCCCTAACTGATATATTCTGCAGCTTCTGAGAAGCCAGCCTCACTTCTTCACTAAACAAGACTATTTTGCACCAATTTTGCCTTTAGGAGCCTTCTAGAAATGCATATTACCAACACAAATATTGCAAGTATAAAAGTAAAACAGCCATGGAATTTAAAGTGACTATGCAATCAAAAATCATACAGGTTTTTATTGATGCTGCCACAATTCTATTTTTCCTGGAACTTAGGAATTTTGCCTTGCAGCTGGCTCTACATAAAACTTTAATATGGAGATATACCTATTTCTCCGAACTGGAAGGGACCTTGAGAGGTCGTCTAGTCCAGTCCCCTGCCCTCCTGGCAGGACCAAGTACCATCCCTGACAGATTTGCCCCAGATCCCTAAATGGCGCCTTCAAGGATTGAGAACTCACAACCCTGGGTTTAGCAGGCCAATGCTCAAACCACTGAGTTATCCCTCAACTTCATCTCATATCCCTACTTAGTATTTTGACTGTGCACTGCCTATGGTCTCTTTCTGGCTGAAAGAAAAGAACTCTCCCCGTTTTTACATGGAGTGGCTGAAGCCAAGTTGTGGAACATGGAATTAACAGCACTATTTAAGCATCCCAAGCCCTTTGAAATTAAAGTCACTTGCTGTTTCAAAAGGAGGTAAAAAGTGGGAGTAGGGAGCATACAAACTGCAACTGAGGGCACGTTAAAAAAAAGCGCCAGAAGTAAGATCTCCCTGGGGACGGACAAGACCTATTTAAAGAAAAGAAATGCATGAAACCATAGAAACAGTATTCAACTTTTCACTTCCAGGACTGATAAACCCATTTTTACTTCATACTAAATGCTAGTTTCAAGTCTTAAAAAGTGGGAGTAGGGAGCATACAAACTGCAACTGAGGGCACGTTAAAAAAAAGCGCCAGAAGTAAGATCTCCCTGGGGACGGACAAGACCTATTTAAAGAAAAGAAATGCATGAAACCATAGAAACAGTATTCAACTTTTCACTTCCAGGACTGATAAACCCATTTTTACTTCATACTAAATGCTAGTTTCAAGTCTTTGTT